AAAAAAAAAAAAAAAAAAAAATAGGGAGAGGGAAAAAAAACACTAGTAAAATTTAAACAGGAATACGGTAAAAGGATAAAAAGAAAAAAGAAAAGCCCACCCAGGAGGCATTTTACAATAAAAAGGGATTTCATTAAAAAAGAAACAAAAAAAAATCCCATTCCCAAAGTTATGTATTACTGCTACGTGTCGCGCCTCAGATTAATTACGACCACGCTCACATTGTCCGTACTATGCCTGGCCAGGGCCAGCTTGGTGAGCAACATCGACGCGTCGGAACACGCCTTGTCGGAGCTCTCTCCGGCAACCCCGTCACTCAGATTGTTCCCCGGAGACACCAGAGGCGGCAGTGGCTGCCCGCGCAGGCACATGCGAACGATGCTGCATGCTGTTTCGTTCGACACCACGTCCCACAGGCCGTCGCTAGCCAGTATTAGGCAGTCATCTTCATCCGTCCGCTCCGTTACCGTCACCTCCGGCTCCGATATCACGTAAGGCTTCAAGTAATTGTCCCCTGCATACCACACAAAACAGTAGACAAATCGACCATCGTAAGGTCGCAAGTTACAGAATAGAGAAGCATGAAAGAGCTACGCTACGAAATCTTCAAAATGGCTTACCGATGGCCCTAGACATGGCTAGAACTCCAAGGACCCGTGGACCGTCCCAATATATTACACGCCCTCCAGCTGCTTGTATTCGAATTAGTTCATCCGGTCGATCCGGCTGTGTACCACAGATAGGGAAAAAAAAATACAGAAAAATAAAACAATTTTAGTCCCCGCTAGCCAGAGGCAAGTCCGTGAATTTACAAAGAACAAAGGACCGAATGACAATAAATCGACGACAGAGATGGCGGATCCTAGGCCATCCGACGGTTGACGACACATGGTACCAGTGGTTTCTTGTCAGAGAGAACGGACGGCCAAAACCACGTCGCAACTCGTAACTACCTTGCCGTCAGATAAGGATGGAGACCATCAGATCAAGATGATTCCCTTTGTTAAAGCCTAGTTCCTGAGGCAAACAGAAACAGGCACATGGGCAGTTTTCTCTCGCGGAGAAGATAAGATGATCGCGTTCGTTGAACTTGAATCAAACCAACGGACCATCCATCCGATTCCTATTTTAAACTTTAGCGGAAAATACCCGAGAAAGAACACTTCAGTTCAGAGTTTAGACTTTTAAAAAACAATCTAAAATGTTCCGGGACCGGTAGGAGAACCTGAAAGGCTGAAACGACCGAATTATCAGATCTAAGGCACCGAAGGGAGATGAGTTCTCGAAAACTATAACTAAAAAATGGAAAGAAACCGTAAAAGAGTTCTTATTTCTCCCGAGGCCGTGCTGGATTCAATCAAACGAAATGGACGTTTAATTTCACCGGAATCTTACCTTATGATCAGACGAGAGAGGAACAGCCTTGCCATTGCGGCATAGTACGGCGCGGGAGTCGCCGCAGTTGGAGACTACAATCTTTTCCGGCGTGATTACGGCAACTACAGCCGTTGATCCAACTGCATCGCACTGCGGCGTCTGAAGCTCGCATCGACAGTTCGGACTCGGACACGATAGTCCATTCCCTACTAGCACCTCCTTGTCCATTCGAGAGAAGCTTCGCTCCATCGTCTCTTTCCACTCCCTAGACGCCTTGCCGTTTTCAAACTCTTCCTTCACCAGCACATGCAGCCGATCTTTACAAGACTTGGCCACCTAAGAAAACATGCAGGAGTCGACATTAACGTCAGTTCTAATCTCTAAAAGACAAGGAACGGATAGAAAGATGGAGAAGAAGGAAGATCATCTGTTCACGAATAAACAAGGAATCGAATTATTACATGGGAGCATCCGTGGCCGTCGTACACGCCGAAAAAATGTAATCCCGCCGTAATATGACCATCTCGCCGGCAAAATGACGGATGAATTGCAACCGCATCTTCCATGTCCCTTCTACGCCCGCAGACAGATGTCATACCGAACTTCGGACGTTGGTCTAGCACCAACGGCTCAACCAGAACAGGAGCCGGAGATCCACTCGGTCCCGAGATTTCCTGAACCGACAAATGTTCTGAATTGGAGTTAGAATTCGTATCTGACTCCTCATCCGACGTGACCAAACTCTCTCGCACTCCGTTCATGCCACAGTTCTCAACTGCGTTTTCGCAATCCCGCGGCGACAAAGCCCCATAAACACCCAATCTCGGCCGTTTCCGGCAATTTTCCTGTGGCATGGAAACTCCAGCAACAAACTTAAACCGCCGGATCTCCATCCTCCGGCGCCTGGCAGCTCGGGAGCTCGGCTCGCACGGCGCCGCCGTTTCGCTTTTACTGACAACTCCACAACATATTTCCGCCATTACAATTGTTAATCTGACCTTGAAACAGCAGAACCAAGAACCCCTAAAACATCACAGAAGAATCGAAGCCAGAAGCAGCTCTCTTAGTTCCTCCCGCTGAAACTTAAAAAAAAAAAAAAAATCCCCAGACAAGGCAGTTCTTCCAAAGCTGAGCTTTGACCCTCTAAGAATAGAAGAACAACAATTTTGAGCAATGGAGGCGAGAATAGAGATATCGGAGATCTCTCCTCCGTGCTCCAAAGTACCCGTTAAAACTACCTCCAAGGTTGCCTTTTTACAGGGGCCTTCCTTACAACAGAGGGGGAGCCTTGAGCCTTCTCCCTGGGCCATAATACCACGGGCAGCTGCCCGTCAACGTCACGGGTAGCCTCCGACAGGTACAGTTGGTCTGACGTAGTTCTTCTAATGCGTACAAGAGCGCATCTCGGCCGTCCATCGCAGCACCGGTTTTCTCTCTCCAACCTGATAGCCCAACACGTGTAAGATCTCTTTTGTTGACAGTAAACGTGGCCCTATAAGCTCCCAACACGATAACCGAAGACCTTTTTTTTCTGACACGCATGTGGTTCTATGTGACTTCTCCTGGTATTCGCTTTTTTTTTTTTTTTTCGATTTCCTACTTAATTTCCCCTGTTGATTTATGTTTAGTCTTATTTGATGAGAGAGATCTCGACACTTGGCCAAATCCCTAAATACTAGATTGCCAAGCAAATTAATTATTCTTCTCCTGCTATCCAATTAAAAGCTTCTACGTAATGGTGACAGGTTTTGACACGTATGGACCCACATGCCCTTGTCTTTGACGCTATGCAGAATATCTGCGGGTCGGACGTCTGCTTTTTTCCAACACGTGTCCACCATGACGTGGCTTTGAGTAGAGAAATATCGTGCGTAGCTTAGACTGCTTTTGGAGCGAGTCCGCATCAGCTGACCATACCACTTTGCTGGGTACATACATGCAGCCGCACATCTGGAACATCGGTTGTGTGGTGGTCACCGATATCCTAGACGTGCAGCTAGATGACTCTATCCAGCATTGTGCTTGTCAGCTGATCCGAACTCGTTAGCACCCAATGACTAAAATCGTCACCACCGCTCGGCGGCGTCCCTCCAAGTACGAAGACGCGGGATCAAACCCGCTCACGTGTACCCTGCTTTGTCTCGTAAATTTTCTTTTCCCAGCCAGATCTGAGATGAAATTTCCGTCCAGAATAGAGCAATACACAACAGCTACTAAACGATTCTCAACCAACTGTTGACAACTTGTAGCACGGTAGCCTTTTTGATAATGTGCTTTCAAGGAAAATTGCGTAAAAAGAGAGAGAACTACACAGTAGAAACAAAGCGTAAATTACGGTATTACTCCATTTTTTTTTTCTTTTCGAAAAAATCTAGAGTGAGTGAGAAATAGGATGAGCCCACTTCTATCATGGGTTGGGAGATTTGCCATTTTCATCACATGTCTTCTAAATAATGTTAAAACAAATTACATGGTGATAGAGCTGTTGTGTTGTGCTTTTGCAAGGTTTTAAAAAATTGGATCGGACACGGAATCGTTTTGGGAACCGATTCCTAGGTTAAACGGCCTGATAATCCAATTCAAACGGATGGTTCGTTTTGACTTAAAAATAAAATAATATAAAAGATGACAAAAATTTGTTGTTTGGGTCGACAGATTAATTCAACCACCCAGTTCAACGAATCACTAATCAAATTCAGGATATTTCTGTCAAAAACTGTTTTAGGGTGAAACAGAAACAATTATCTGACTGATTCCTGTGTCAACCGTCCGATCATCTAATCCAATCTAATCTAGTTTTCAAAACCATGTTTTGCTTGTTACTTTCAAGCCTGTGGCTGTGGATGAGGAATGGGAGATCAGCTTCTTGCATCAAAAATATCTTTGCATAAAACAAAATACATGAATAGGGAGATATTCTCGATATAAGGTCGTAAAAGGCCGTTCGAACGGACATTACCAGATGTAAGCCGAACTCGAGGAAGGATGGATATAAAGTTTGTCCATAGGCAACCATATATAAAAAGCATTGAAGATACACCAAATTAGAATGTCTGCTACGACCTTGTACCTTATTTGCACCACTGGTCTCCTTAATTGCTCCTTTAGACAAGAGAAATCTCATTCAATTAAGCCTTTGTATCGTGCCCGACCCACTGCTTTTGATTTGCCAGCAACTTTCTCCACGAACATCTAAAGTGGTTGCTGATTCTGATATTGGTAATTTTTAAGGTCTGAATCATTGAAAACTCGTTACATGAATAGTCCCTAGCAATGATTTGAAATCATCTTGATTTTTAAAATAAAATAAAATATACTTTGGGTTTTATAACCATATTTAGCATTGCCTTTTTAAATTCGGTTTGTTGCTCATTTCAGTAACGCCAAATTCGAATCCAATTTATAGGATTGATTAATAAATGAGCCAAGCTCGAATATATATATATATATATATATATATATATATATATAAAATATATATAATCAAAATATTATAATTCTTAATTATTATAATTTTTAATTTTTAAAATATCAAATAAAAAATATTTTATATATATAATTTTTATTTTTTAAAATATTTTTTCTCAAATCGAGTTCGAGCTTACGAGTTCTTGACTCAATCCGATCTCAAACTCAAGGTTCTAGCTCGAACCGAGCTTGTTGGAGGATAGTTCAGATGAATAGGTTAATGAGGCTAGTTCATCGAACTACAAGAAGATCGGAAGATCAGACTCATCAGAGTACTCGGGAGGATAAATCTAGGCTGGGCACTTTGATGCTTAAGTTAGCAAAGTGAATGTTCGATAGCAGAGACCTTGAGAAAAACGAAAGAGAATTGATTGCACTTATTGTGCATACCTTCTAGTGGAATAGTGAAGTCCTTTTATAGACGTCAGGGTCCATGTTCCGTTCCCGAGATACCCAGGCATGGTTGGCATTATCGACAGTTATATTCTTAGCACGTTTCTTCCATGTTGGTGGTGATTCATATCCATACTTCCCAAATTGTACATGAACCAGAGATACATGGACCAGGTATGTGACGTGCCACCACTTGGCTCAGAGCCGATAAGTGTGTCATTCCAAATAACGGCATTATGCCATATAGGTCATTAAGTCAGTACTCCAAAAGTCCCACTCACTATTCAATCTATGTCAGCATGGGTCGGGAAGATCATGCCAGTCTTTGAGGTCCTTGACTTATCTTCCTAAGGTCGTGTGTGTCGCTTAGTCGGGAAGCAACCTACTGTATTTACTTTGGAATGCTCAAGTTAGAAGGAATACAAATACAAATATGTAGAGCGCAAAACCTTTTATTTTGTATGTTATTGTAATGTACTATCCAAACTGAGCTTAAATGTTAGTTCATACTCTCTCTCTCTCATTCTGTAATGCATGGTAGTCTTCAAAAAAATTATATTAAAAAGACAAAAAAGAGGGGGAGAAAGAAACATGGAACATAAAAACAAGATTTCATACTTATAAAAATGCATTGATGCCTAAAGCTGTCAATGCATTGGGTCCATCTAATAGATCGAGCTAGCACGAGTTGATTATATTGATTTTGGTTTTGAGTTTAGGCGATGTTTGGTAGTGATTAAGTTAAAAATAAGTGCTTATTCGAATAAGTACCTATTTATATTTGACACTCAATTTTTTTAAGCACTTATTTTTTTTAAATAAACACTTATTTTATATTGGGCATTTGGTAGTCATTTTCATTAATAAGTACTTAAATAAGCATTTGTGATTATTTTGTTCTTTATTTTCTTTCAAATTTTCAAAATATACCCTTTGAAAGCACTTTTAATAAATTATTTTTCTTAAAATGCTTTTATGAAAGAAGTTTTATAAAAATATTTATATGAAAATCATTTTTACAAAAGTAGTTTCACAAAAGTGTTTTTGTAAGGGTACTTTCTTAAAAGTGCTTTTGTAAAATACTTTCATAAAAGTATTTTCTTAAAAGTGCTTTCATATAAGTAGTTTTATAAAATTCAAATAGGGATAATTTTATAAGTGGTATTTTAAAATTTAAATAGGGATAATTTTGAAAGAAAAAAATTGAACATGTGCTTATTGTATAAGCACCTATAAAAAGCTAGAAAATTGGGCTAAAAAATAAACCCTTATTTTTAAAATAAGCACTTATTTCGGGTTTATTTTCCAAATACCAATAAGTGCTTAATGGCCCAAATAAGTACTTATTTTTAAGCACTGCCAAACATAGCCTTAGTTTCCTAATTGTAATTTGGTTGGAACCATTTTGTTTTCCCAATTACAAAAGTCTCACAGTTTTCTTGTAATATTAGGTATATTTTATGCGCCTCAAGGGTACATTTTATAGATACTATAAAAGACAAATTTTCTTAAAAAAATGTTTTTTTTTTTTATAGAAAGATAGCAAGATAATTCATTAATAAAGTCTCAAAATACACAAACTAAACAAAGGTTAATGTTTATTTAAGTCTTGGTTGGCCAAATTTTGAATCCATTCTGGCATATCAAGGATAAACAACCCAAACTCTTGTAGACCCTTTTTTGCGAGCACATGTACCATAGCTTTACAAGATAAAAAATGTTATTAAGATATAAGCATATTTATCATTTTATATGATATTGTATATAGGAAAATTTATGTGATATTATTATGTACGGATAAGTATATTGTACTACATTGCAGAATTCTGAATTCCATTGCAACTCTACACAATTCAAGATGACAAACAACCCCACCTTAAAACAATAATATCTACTCGCATATTAGCATTAATTCCGAATTGGCACTTACCCCAACTGTATTGTAGGGCTAAGGCCTCGTTCACTTTTCGGTAAGTTACTTTCCTAGAAAAGACTTACCCGGGGCAAGTGTATTTACCAATGTTCTTTTATTTCCCATGTAAATAAAGCAATGACCATTTTAGCCGTAAGAATCAATTATTAAAAGGGGTATTTTTGTTCCATTCAAGTGTTAGCAATTTCATCCCAGGTGGTAAAGTTATTTACCCACCTAGGAGATGGGTATCACTTACCTAGAAAATAAACTTTCCCAGGAAAATAAGCTTACCCGGGTAAGTGATACCCAGGAAAATAAACTTTCCTAGATCCCCACATAAATCTGAAAAAAAAAAAAAACATGTGATTCTTGGTCAATGAGAATCAAAATCCCAATGACCAACCTTCCCCCCTCTCAAAATCTAGAAAAAGAATGTCCCCTAAGAATTTATAGGATGTATTTGTAGGACTAAGAATTCTTAGGGGCTGTTTGGCATCGTTGTCGT